TATATATATATATATATATATATAAAATTATAACACTGTCTGCGTGTCTCTCTGTCTTTTGTGCAATACTACACATTTCATCATATCGCTATAAAACTTTGGGAAGTTGTTGAGAATACTCCGGAGGAGGTTTCTGTTTTAATTTCGCAAGGGCGGCGCCTCGGTCGGGAGGGTGCTGTTTTCTCTATATACGGTATATAAAAAATAAAGGTCGGATGCGCTTCATCCGAGTGCCATGAAACTTTAAGAGTTGATGGGAATACTCCCAAGCAGGGGCGTAGCGGGGGGGGGGGGGGGGGGGGGGGGGATGCGGACCACACCGGGTGACACCATTTAGGGGGGTGCTGCCAAGGCAAAAAATAGCAAAATATATAGAGAAAAACTTGACGGGGGTGCAAATCGAAAGTTTGAGGGGGGGGGGGGGTGCAAATCGAAAACTTGAGAGGGGTGCAAATCGAAAGTTTGAGGGGGGGGATGCAAATCGAAAACTTGAAAGTTTGTCTCCGGGAAGGTTCGCTACGCCTCTGGGGGTGACACCATTAAGTGCCGCACCGGGTGACACCCGACCTCGCTACGCCACTGCTCCCAAGAAGGTTTCTGCGGGGGAAAAATTTTTTTTTTATGGGCGGCGCCCGGGAAGGTTTTGCGCCCAGTGTTCCAGGGCGGCTATCTAGGCACTTGGTATCCGCTAATTGGGAGTCCTGCATAGCGGGTAAGAAGTAGTACTATATTCGGCGTTAAAAACTTATCAGGCGCAGCTACTGGCGCCCCGGCTATTGCGTGATGCGAAGCGTCCATGGCTTCACTGTGAGCACTTCGACGCCTACATTCGTTTTTAGCGCAATTTCCATTCTGGAGAATTTTGTTTATTTACTCGTCATTTCTGGGAACGGATGGATGAATGAATGTATGGATGAATGTGTGTCCGCAGCTTTAAGTCGTATCTCCTCCTCAACGAAGCAATATCGAGGACCAGTTCCAAAAGCAATTATGTTAAGCAAGTTACGAGGATGAACATAGGCCACAAAAATTCCGGGTTTCTTTCATGGATTTCCCGGAAAAGCCAAAAAACCTCGAAAAAATGCAGTTTTTGGCCCATATCTCGGCAACCAGACCACTTAGCGACTTGAAACATGTACCAATCGATTCCTGCCATAATTTAGAACACTATTGCCGAAGAAAGTTTTCAAAAATATCCTTTCGTTCGGTCACAAAATTTTTTATTGAATTAATTAAAATTCGGACCGAATTAGTAGGCATTTTTATCCAACCACACGTTCAATAGCTGCGCCATCACGTTCAATGGCTGCGTCATCACGTTCAGTAGCTAGGCGCGCAATGGTTTTTAGTCATGTAACTCTATCTATATATATATAATTCTCTTCTGGGATCAGTTAGAAAACAAGCTGCAAGCGCGCCTTTGCAGTCCCCTCTCTTCCTCTCTATCACTATCACTACCACCCCCACCCCACCCCCACATGATCTGGTGAGCGGTGTTCACTCTGTTTACATTTTACAATCATAGAGACGGGTTTGGTGACGGCTATTAGGGGCAGATAATTGAGTTTGAAACGATTTTAAACTTAGAGGAGGTAACTAAGAGGGGGCTGCTTTCACGTGGGGGGGGGGGGGGGGGGAGGGGGGTTAAGTGTTTTTAAGCAAATATTTTCAGTGGCAGCATTGATACTGTCGAATTCACAAATTATAAATTACTGAAAAGTAGAAAAAAAACAACTAAATAGCGGCGTATGATACGCAGCGGGTCGGCTCGTTGTAAATAAAACATGTATTTTAACCAATGGTTTTACTAACCCTGCTCTTGATTTACGCTACGACAGAGCTATTTTTAGATAACATAAGGAAATTGCGCTAAAATTGTCACTAGACTTTTTAATTACCTTGTTTATAACGAAGACACGATGGGAAACAATTATAGTCGTTCATTAAATTGAATCAGGCGCGTTCGCCGAAGCCCCGGCAGGGTGCAATTTGGTCCCCCTGGTTATATGAGTTTCGAGGGTAGTTTGTAGCAGGCGCTAATTTTGTTCAGGCCAGCCTTTTAGTTCTATCTTTGGAACAGTCTCTGTTACGATTTGTTACATTGTTGGATTATAAGTTTGTTAGAATAAGTGATATACAATAGCAAATTATCAGAAACGTTTATTATACACATTGGTATACGAAATGGGCATTTCATTGACTGGTTGATTGTACAGGGAAACAAGCTAGAGGAAACAAAATGGGATCCAACGGACACAATATTTGCTGCATTTTGCAACGTCTTGCTATTCACAGATGCGCGCTTCTTTCTTGCAGAACAAAGAAGCAGTATTAACCGGTTTAATGATAGTGCGGACGATAAAACTATTAAGGGGGAGGGGAGGGGTTCGCTGAATCAGTGGCGTAGCTACCGTAAAGCTAGCGTAAACAAGGCATAGGGGCCCAAGGCAAATAGGGACCTTTTTTTTTTTAAATGTTTTAAAACTTTTACATTTGAATTTTAATATTTGTATTATAAAATGGTTTTAAAAAGAAAACGGAAATCCAGTTTCTTTTCTACTGTAAAAGTAATCAAAATTTCCAAAAAAGGCCCCTAGACTTTCTTACTAGGGGGGGGGGGGGTGTACAGGGCGCATCGGTATTAATAACTCTTTAAGTATAGGAATTGTTTGTTGCACTGTCGGGCAAGCCGTTGAGAGAATTAGCCTATCAATAAACTTGAACATTAACTCTTTGTGAGATTGGCATCCGGCACCCGCAACTGTACTCGCATCTCTAAAAACTCTCTACCCCACCGCCACCCCCCCCCCCTCAACTCTCTGTCCTCACCGAAATTCCTTCCATCCATGATTACAATCGAGCCATTTTTTATTTTTTTTGTTAACTGCCGTGGACAGTTTTTTCACAACAAGCTACGTCGAAAATGTGTGAATGTATTTCTGCTAGTTTTAACCTTAATCACAATTTGTTTCTTGATCTAATTTATCTCTAATCAATATGCAGCTACCTAAAGATTTTTGTTTGTCTGTCTCCTTGTTCTTTATGCATCAATACAAAAATTATCCAATCGCCAAGAAACATTGGGAATTTTTTTTATAATAATTCAGACAAACCTCTACTGACTTTGAAATTTCCTACCACAACCCCACAAATAAGAAGCAGTGCCTCCTCTCTCGAAGAGAAGCCAGAAAGAAACTCTGACTCCTGTAAAGTTATCTTCCATTATATCTTTTTTTTATTTCGTTTGGAGAGCGGCTCTTTGACAGTAAGGCGGTTCGGTTTGCCACCCAGAGTTTCTCAGCGGCTTTCTTAGCACCCGGGGTCAGTTAATTGAGTGTCCTGCACAAGGGGTCAGGGGTACTGCTTAATTTAATTCAACGGTCAAACTGCACAGGTGCATCAACCAGTGCCACGGGCTCCGCCCGTGAGCACTACGGCGCTTGTTTTAATGAGTGCCATGCTTGTTTTAATGAGTGCCATGCCCTAGGGATACGGAGGGCTACTATAATCAATTGCTAAAGAAAATAATGGATGTCCTCCAGCATTATACGATTAGGCCAAATAGGCGCCCCTCCATTATTATAATGTTATGAAGCAAGTTCTAGATATGCCCTTTAGGTCAATAACTTGGCCATCCTAAGTATCGAACATACAAAGGCAGCTAAAATGGACTTCAAGGAACATACAATGCATTTCTTCCTAATAGAAAGAAAAATCTAAATAAATCATAAGCAACTTTAAAAAAAAAAATGTGTATTTGGTTAGTGACGTCAAAAATTTCGCTACCACCCGGTGCGTTTAATGAGTGTCACCCCCACCCCGTCTAACAAATTTGGATTTCCGGTGGAGTGTTACCCCCTTCTCCTTAATATTTTATTATTTTAACTGAATAGAAAATAGTTCTGACAGTAAATTTTACAAGTTTTGGTTATGGTGTCACGCCTAAATTGTGAGGCCCCTGCCCTGTGTTAGGTTACTTAAATGTTACAGGCTTACAGTTACATAAAAGTGATATAAAATCAAAGGTATTTTACGTTACGGGGTACTACATAATAATGCCGTATAAATACACAATTAGGACGTATAAAATACACATTTACAGATTGACGTAGGGGCCCAAAAATAATTTTTGCATTGGGGCCCGAAAATCCAAGCTACGCCACTGCGGTGAATGGTCATATGAAACTATTGGGGTCCGGTACCTCCAAAAAGAATAAGAACCACTGCTTTAAAGGGTAGTTTGTAGAACAATCAAACTTATTTGGTCCACTTTTGTTCCTGAATTTAGAACAATTTCGAAACTAGCATATTATAGTTTTAAATTATCAGTTAGAATGAACAAAGTAACAAAACATTTGGCATGTTCTACCATTTTTACCTCTTTTAGTAGGTATAGTGGCCTTAACTATATAAAAATTGCAGCATTAGGACTTGTTATGAAACCAGCAATAAAAAATAATCTATTCGGTACACTATACAAATTTCTAGTAAACTAATTTCTTATATTGACTTGACTTAGTCCTCATTGCTCCTTACGGAACATAGGGCCTCCACCATTTCCTTCCATTTCTTCCGATCCCTGGCTATTAATTTTGCCGCTTCCCAAGACATCCCTGTTTGCTTCAGTTCTTCGGGAAGACTCCGCCTCCTTGTCTCTCTTGGGCGCTTCTGGGTACGAATAGCACGCCGGTACGATTGATCCACCGCTACCCAACAATATTATGGATTCACATGTAATAACGGAACTTACTGCATGATTTGAGATGGCAAGTTGAGCACGGAGATGGAAAATACAATAATCTATAACGCTCGCTTAATTCATGGCGAAGCCGCGCATTTCTGAACTTGTGTGTCTGAAAGGCAACAGCAGAAGTCACACTGATTAGCAGTAGATATTCAAGCCTCGCTTTTACACAGGAAGCTAGTGATCTAAATCAAGCGCAGCTAAATGCAAAACTTTGTATACGTCTGCTTAATATACAATATTTTATATATTTCAGAGATTGAGTAAAACTCCTGTGTCGGCTGAAGATGTGAGGCATCTCCTCGTGTTGTTGATGGGAAAAGAAGGCATCTTGACTATCAACAAATTTGAGAAGTTCTACAATAGAGTAATAGCCCATGTAAGAGTTTGCTTATTAATTAAGTAAATACTAGTAGCATATACTTGACGTTGCCTCGGCTATGGCAAATATATTGTACTAGCCGTCCGTATCCGTTACACGTGAATTATAGGCCTATATGTTTCAATGTTACACTTGTTTGAGAAAAATATTTTATAAAATAGTTATTAGTCAAAACGCAATGTGCTTTACTACACATTGAACGATATTAGTGACAAAGCAAAGAAATAATTAAACAGCCAAGAATCCGACACATTTAAAATAACAAAGGCTACCAATACCTATTAGAAAAACCAAATTAGTCAACACAAAAAGCATATTAAATGCACAAACTGATTAAGAGACAAATGATTCCGTTAAAAATCCGACTGTTCAATGGTATTTACGTGTATTAAAGTAATTTGTATTACTTTTGGTCGAGAAAATTGTATATATTCACTAGCTGCATCCCGTGCTCCGCCACAGTAAAAAAATTTTAAATGTACCAACTTTGCAGAACAAAACAAACAAAAACACAACACAAACACAAACAAAACACAACCACAACACAACCACAACACAACCACAACACAACCACAACACACCCACAACACAACCACAACACAACCACAACACAACCACAACACAACCACAACACACCCACAACACAACCACAACACAACCACAACAATAGAATCACCACCGAACAACACGCTTTTCCTAGGCGCCCGCGCCCAGAGAGAGCCTTTCCAGCATTCTCTATACTATAATTCTAAATTTTCACCATCTGTTAACACCGAAAAACAAAAACAAAAAATAGTGATTTTAAGAGATCATAGTCTAATTAGAAAATAATGTAAATAATCTTAACATTTTTCTATTTTACTTATGAACCTTAACATATAATAATCAATGTGGTAGTAATAAAAAAAAATAACTTAAATTATTGAGAGTGAGTTGAATATTAAAAACACGTTTTCCCCGGCGTCTGCGCACAGAGAGAGCCTTTCCACTTTTTCTCAAAAAGTCTAATTTCAACATCTGTTTTCATAACACCGAAAAACAAAAGCAAACAGATAGTCTTTCTTCTTCTTCTTCGTTCTTAATTATAAGTGTTGAAGGGGATCGAGAATTATCTGCCAGTGGGTTTGAACTCGAGACTTTATTCGAATTTATCAACCATGAGCTTTTTGCCGACTCG